CATTTTACAGATGGCAAAATGATATTGACTGTTTTGTAGAGTGATTGGAGATATGTATGGATGAAAAGTGCTATATAAGTTAGGTATTATAATTATTTTAGACATGAACTGGACACTAAAGATCCCATGGGGAAGGAGGGAGAAGGATAGCAGGAGAGTCCACTTAGAGAAGGACGAGATGTAGGAGCAGAGAACAGGAGAAGATGGAGAAAGCCAAAGGAGGATGAGAGTTCAAGGAAGTGGGTATGATCAACAGCGTTGAAGGCAGCAGAGAGGCCAAAGATGCTGGGAGTAGAGTCCAAGCCTGGAGTGAAATTTTGGCCCCACTGAGATCAATGGAAGTTTTGCCATTAATTTTGTTAGGGCTATGATTTCACACTTGGAGATTCAACCAGGAAGTGGTCATTGGAGACTTTGGTGACAGTGCTTAACTTGGAGTGAAGGAGGAGAGGAAGCCATGCTATAGGGGAATCTAGGAGGACTGCTAACCTCACAGCATTCAGAACAAAATGCAAAACCTCCATTTCTTTAAGTCAAAGCTTTTCCACCATAAGTTCTCCTTATAGATATGTGCTCATCCTCATTTAAAAGACCGTGACACTGAGGCAGAGAGAAGAACAGTGTTTAACCCAAGGTTAGAGGAGGAGTGTGTGCCACATCTAGGACTAAATCACTGAGGTTCTTGCTCTCAATTAGTCTTGTGTTCAGAAGCTCAAGGTCACACCTCACTCAGAAAGCATCGCCTATGGGACTGAGCACACTGGCACAGGGGCGAGAGGTGCTATCCTGGGTGAGCACAGGAGACCTCTTCTGTGGGGGTGGGGTTTTTTCCTTCATAGCCAATGCGAGTTCATCTGATTAAAGACCTCCGGATTTGGCCCTGTATGAACTGCAACCGGATTCCTTTCAGCTGGTTGGAGAGTGGGGCTTAGCTTGAGGCTAGCCAGAGTGGGTTGCCTGTTGCTTTAGGAAGCTCTTTGTCTGACTCAAACAGCTCTAATTATCATTCATGAGAAGCAGAAAGGTTTGGCTGTCCAGGAGCTCAGGGACACAGAAGAAGAGTCTGAGGCGGTGAGTTCATGATTCAATGGGCTGGCATAAGTGTAACAGCTGGAACATAGCAAAGGATTCTGTTGATGGTGGACAAGGAAGAATAGAATCCAGTTCCCTCAGTCCTGCAGAACCAGCCCAGATACAGGTAACAGGAGTAAAAAAGCAGTTTTACAAATTCTGCTGAGGATGTACAAGAAGGAAAGAATCTAGCCTGGCTCTCTGATCTCAAGCTAATCTGCAGGACTGATATACAGGAGGAAAAACAATCTTACTTGTAAACTGAGCATGTCTGATTGGGAGTCACTGACAGACAACAGAGCCCAGCTATGCTGTTTTATAACAAATGCTTTCCTGTGTGTGGAATGGCCACCTCTAGGTGCAGCACTTCCTGTTTAGGTAGAGAGTGTTAACTACAGAGCTGGTGCCTCAGTGCAGCCAGAAGCAGTAAATGTTTGAAAGTGGGGGGTGAGCTGGCTTTTTATTTTTGGGGGGCACACATTACAGCAAGTATGTTTGTGGGCAAGAGACTTTTCCAATGTGCAGAGGTTTTTTTTTTTAAGCACATTGCTGGTATGTACCCATCAATGGCCTTTGATCGCTATGTGAAATATTTGCTCTTAGCCTTATATCTGCTTGAACTAAGACTTGGGTCTAGGGTGTGAGGATTTTAGAAACCTCAGCTCAAAAGTTGTGATGCTGTGGCTAATTTTGCTTGCACATCTGCAATCCACAAGCCTCATTGGGCTCAACTCCTCCACCCCCATAACCTCACAGGATCACATCCTCCCTGTGGGTTGTTCTTTTCTGAGTTTTGCTTCCAGCTCTTGCAAAGCAGACTTGCAGAATCCATACAGTCCTATTTCCGATGGCGTGAAACATATCAGCCTTGGAGCATCCTGCTTTATGGCATGACAGGAATTTTACCTGCATCTAATTTGTACACAGAAACTGGGAGACTAAATCATCTGCAAATCAAAGAGTAATAAGTGGTCACTAAATCGGGTGCCTCTCTGTTAGCCATTTTAGGCATTTTAGACTAATGCTGTAGGATGTGTGTGTATAACAGAAATGGTTTAGCAGTTTTCCCCAAAGAATGGTATCTTACTACAAACATCACACAACAACCTATACAGAGAGTCTCAAACTCTTGTGACTGATAAGTAAAGACTTTTGGGATTAAATCATGCTTGCCTGACTCATGTGGTTAGTTCCACTGAAGTCACTAGATCCCTATGTGGTGTAAATCTGCACACCTCCATTTACTTCAGTGGTCACTTCAAGGGAGGGTGCTGTCCCAAAGTGAATAAGGTGGGTAGGATTTGGCCACTGGGATGTGGTCTTGCTTCCGGTGAACTCAGGTGGAGTTTTGTGGCTCACTTTAAGGGAAGCAAAGTAGATCCCACTGAGCTACCTGATCCTGAAAGGTCCTGTGCACCTTCAGAGCCCACTGAAATCACAGGAGGGGGTGCTATGCACCACCCAGAGCCAAACCCCTGGGTTGGATTTTAGCTGGTGTTTTAGAGGTGAAAAACTCAATATCCCACTGGCAATCTGCTTGAGCTACACCATCCCTTTGTGTTGCCAGCTTTGATACCTGGTGATTTTCTCAAAACTCCAGCTCCTGGAGTCATGTGATGAAGAAAGAATTTCAGCTTTAATTTTTTTTAAAGTGGCTTTCTAGCCCTCACGATTGCAGAGAGGCGCATCTGAAGCCTAAACTCCAAAAGCAGAAAATCAAATAAAAAGTATCCAAACTTTCCGATTTTTTTTAAAGCCAATCTGATAATTTTTGGACACTTGGGGTTGACAATACTGACCCCTGCTGATAGTTGAATCCAAAAATTGTGTGTGTGTGTGTACAGGTTCAAAAAACATAAGGCAAATAAGAACCTCAAATGTATTATTTTTAAAGGAAAATGTCCACTTTTAAAAGCCATTTTCATTACTGTTAGGACTTGACTCATGATTTTTTAATGCTGGGGGGTGGGATTGGGACTCATTGCATGTGCCACTGTCCAAACACAAAGTAGAAGCCAGTCTCTGTCCTGAAGAGCTTACAGTAAAGACAAGATGCAACAATTGGAAGGGAAACAATGATAAAATCATGATGGTGTCCCTTAAATTATATGCTGAGTTAAAAAGGAAAAACTGATAAGCATATTGTTTGAATAGGCACTTTTATTGTTCCCTGTTGTTTTAGTGCATCTGCAGAGCAGGTGGCAGCTACATCACCGAACAGCCAAGGTTAACACACTAAACTGGGTTTGCTACCTTGCAAAAATGGTAGATACACAAACATTTAAAAGTGAGTCTGTAAATAATTTAATTACAAGGAAATCCTGAAGGCCTGCGTGGTCTGCCATTCCACATACCTATCTACAATACTATGAGGGTGCCACTAGGTGGTGCAGTGGAGCTAGTGCATTGGGGCTCTTATCTCTGGGCATCCGGGACTCAAACCATAACTTAGGTGGCAAATAAAAATTAGTGTGGTGTACAGTTATGACGGTCTGCAACACACTTCAGAATACTATCAGTTTCAACTCAAATAGACCTGGGATTATAAGGACAGGTGAGAAGTATCAGGGGGTAGCCGTGTTAGTCTGTATCTACAAAAACAACAAGGAGTCTGGTGGCACCTTAAAGACTAACAGATTTATTTGGGCATAAGCTTTCGTGAGTTAAAACCTCACTTCTTCGGATGCATAGAGTGAAAGTTACAGATGCAGGCATTATATACTGACACATGGAGAGCAGGGGTTACTTCACAAGTGGAGAACCAGTGTTGACAGGGCCAATTCAATCAGGGTGGATGTAGTCCACACCCAATAATAGATGAGGAGGTTTGAGGTGCACTGACATAAGTATCTTTGGGACCCGGGTCTGGAACAACAGTTTGTTGTAAGTCGGGATCAAGGAGAGTGTAAACCTGGGACCGGAACATCCAAGGATATTGCAGAGATGGGTGAAGATCCTTGAGTGGAACAACCAGAAGTATTAATAGAGGCTGCTTCTGTGGTGCATTGGCAGATGTGAAGGGAGCCCAGGATTTGAACATCAGAGTGAGCATGTATCAGGATTGGGATGCACAGGCCAAGCCACCTGTGGGTGCTCAGAGTCAGGACAAGAAGGGGTTGGGAGGAAGTGCAACTCAGGACTAGAGAGCACAGGAAGAGCTGAGTGTGTGCCCAGCACTAGAAAAGCATGGGGGCTGTAAGTCAGTAGGGTGGGGTGCTGGCAGAGCACTGGAATAGCAGGGGAGCTGTTTGGCTGGAGGTGCACTGGCAGGGCTGTGGGGGTGCCAGCTCTGGGATTTCAGGGGCCTGTGGGTCAGGCTGGAATTGCTCAGCAAGGGGATTGCAAGGGGGGGGGGCTGGGGGTGCACGGGCAGGGCTGGGTGGGTCTGGCTCTGGGATTGCAGGGGGCTGTGGGTGCCCCAGCACTGGAATAGCAATGGGGCTGTAGGTCAGACTGGGGGTGCACTGCCAGGGATAGAGGGGGCCAAGCACTGGGATTGCAATGGCCTGGGGCGGTGGGGGCGCGGGCAGAGTCGTGCGCGGGGCGCTTGCCCAGTGCGGACTCCGCGGAGCCCTGGCCTCATTGGAAAAACCTGGGAGGCGACGCTGTGGTCAGGCTGCAGCAACCTGCGCGCGCCAGCCCCGCCCCCGCCCGGCAGCACATTCAACGTTCACAGGAGCAAGAAGACGGGAGCCCCGTCGGCGGCCAATCAGCGCGGACGTCTGATCGGCCAATGGGAGGGCGGCTTACAGAGGCGCGTGCCCCCGAGAAGGAGGCTCCGCGGCAGAGCAGAAGCTGCCCGGCTGGGGACGCGGTGCGGGAACTTTTCTCCTCAGCCGCCGCCGGCCTGTCACTCGCGCGCCGCGCATGGAGCGGCCCCACGGCGGGGAGGCTGCGGGGGCGCCGAGCCCCGCGGCAGGGTGCTGAGGCGGGGAGACCCCCCCCTCTTCCCCGGGGGTGGAGCGAGCGGGGTAAATGCTCTGGCTCCACGGGCCGCTGCGGAGTCACGCCGGAGTCACTCGCGGCTCGCTACGCCCCGTCCCCGCGGCAGGGTGAGTGAAGGAGCGGGCGGGCGGGGCACCCTGGCTTCCCCCTCCGTGGGCGGCGAGCGCGGCTCGGGTCTGGGGCTGCTCCGTGCATCCCGGGGAAGGGGGGACCCCCCACCCCTCGGATCCGCCTGCGGGCTCCGTGCGGGCGGAACGGGGCGGCCCCCGGGTGTCTCCGGCTGAGCGGGTTTGCCGGCTGGGGACGAGCCCACCCCCAGGAGGGCGCTGCGGGCCGCGCCGGGGGTTGCGGATCTCCCTGTCCATCCGCTGGGCAACTTCCACTGCCAAGGCCCCC